ACAAATAAACTAGAACGTAAGAAAGAAAGAATAGAGTCCCTAACTTACCTATGTTCACTAAATTAACTCACCTACCTATGTTCAATTAGCTCAACTTACGAATTAATCCTACCTATTTGTACAATTACGAAGAAAAAAGTAAGGAAAAGAGAATAAAACATCAAGGAGACAAAACAACGAATATATGTATGTATGTTTGTATGTGTGTGTGTTTGTGTGGGTGTATGTATGACCGCGCAATAATAATAACAATAAAATAAACGAACAAATCTAGAAATTATAACGAATAAAATAAACGAATAAATCTAGAAGTAATATGTAACGAATAAAACAAACGAATAAATCTAGAAATAATATGTGACGAATAAAATAAACGAATAAAATAAACGAATAAATCTAGAAATAATAAGTAACGAACACATCTAGAAATAATAACTTAACTAAAATGAAGAAATAAAAAAAGGGACCAGGCGCTAAGGGAATGCCACAAAGTGCCCGGTCGGATTTCAACGCATTTTCGGCTCCTATTTATACCAGTTCCATTCATATATTCTTATCGTTTCAATCATTGACATCATTAAAAAACTTTATTTAATGTATATGAAACATTATAAGTGTTTAACAACAATATATTAACTATACTAGTATGAATTCTATACTAGTAGGAAATTAAGGAACGCCACCCTAACTTCCTGATTGGCTCATTTGGTTTGAAAACCGGATAACGTACACACGCAATTAATAATATTTTTATTTAATTATTAAATAGATTTATTATTTAAAAAATTATTTTAGATATTTGTATGCCTGTGTATTTACAATTGTACATATTTGTCGTTATGAATTCCAAATTTATTTGCCACCGCTCCTTACTTGAACAATTTTAAAATATATATATGTACATGTAAATGTTTGTGTACGTTTATATATATTTATATACTCATTCATTTATTCATTCATTCGTTCGCTCATTCATTTATCCGTTCATTCATTCATTCATTTGGTCGTTTGTTCGTTCATTGATTCGTTCGTTCAACCATTCATTCATTCATTCGTTCGTTCGTTCGTTCATCCATCCAGTCATTCACACAGTTTCCATAGATAAGCTTAGTGTTGGAGTTAATTATTTAAATATATTTTTAACCGGATGGTTTTAAATAAAATTTTGGATTATTTTATTCCTTTAATTTCATTATTTCCTATGTCTATATCACACACACCACACACACACACACACACACACACACACACACACACACACACACACACACACACACACACACAAACACTAACTTTTTTCTTGTTAGTCTGTTTTTGTCTGTCTGCTGGTTTGTTTGTATTGTTTGTCGATTTGTTAGTTTGTTTGTTTTATTGTTTGTTTGTTTGCCTGTTTGTTTATTATTTAATTACATTTTTATCTGATTTAAATTAAATTAAAACTTTATTCATTTGTTTCATTTCATATGTATATCAGGCAGGCTATACACTTACTCACTCAAAAACACGTGCATATGCGTATTTATTTTTTTTTGTACATCTGTTTGTATGTATGTTTGGTTTTTTGGCTGGCT